TCTCATTCTCATGTGGCGGCTAAAGTCACAGAGAGTCCCGTCTTCCCCCTCCTTAATCTGATCACTTAATGTCTCTCCTTACATCTAAACACGTTAGCCTCCCGGAGAACTGAAAGTGGTGTCCAATTCGTTGAGGCCTGCAGCACAGCTGCTTCCAAGTTCGTAAAACAAGGTGTTCGCCCACCTTCCCCGCCATCTCCTGTAACATCGATGTTTGTATTTGCAATAACTACTTATGTGTCCCCTGTGATGGGCCTCGTTGCTACATGACCTGCAGTCTCACTCAGCCAAGTTTTGAGAAAGTAGCTCTGCTTAAAGTCATTGCCAGAACAGTAGAGTTATTTGAAAAAATACGGACCTGATGTCTTTAGTTGTGACTGTACTTCGGACATTGAGTTCTCTCTATAACATGTAACCGTGACAGAGGCAGCTCAGTTCATCTATTTAGCTCAACATATAAGGCAGGTCAAAGACATAATGGACAAAAATATTCATAAAACTTGGCTCATCATAGAAATTTTAATCCAATATGTGGATTTTTTTTTTTTTGTGGTCATCACGAAGCATGATGTGTGTTTACATGTGATTGCCTTTGTTGCATTACTATTGTTATTTTTCACGTCGCGTCAGCTGTACTCAACACATGATGATGAGCGAGGTGGCGCCAAAGAGGAACAATTATCATTTTTGCCCAGATTACGCCGAGCAGATGTTCCGGCCCGCATGTGGAGGTGGCTAATTGCCGTCTTCAACTCAACTGCGCCATAACACAAGCAGCATATGTGAATGTGCGTTGAGGATGACAGAGGCAAACAGTGGCGCATGGGGGTGGAAAGTCAGATTTTTATCAGGCAAGCCGGCGGAATGGTTGTGTGCGTTTATAAAAAGCCAGGCTAATGCATGTGTCATGTCGGTGTGCTAATGATCCAACGGGCTTAGCAGACATCTGCTGTTCCCACCCGCACAAGCAGAAACATTCATATGGGCTAAAGACATGGAATGGTGCAGGAACAGGCTCAGCATTTACTCTCATGCTCCACATTAGGTGGGTCATGCCTTTGTCGCATGGCATCTGTATTATAGTCAGTGAATTGCACACACGTAAGACCTCTACCACACCCACACACACACACCCACAGTGTGCTTCCACACTGCCTAAGAAAAATAAACTGAAAAAAGGCCTTCCACTTCATGTATTTCTCCACGCCCCTTTTCTCCAGCACATTTCTGGGTAGCCTTGAGTGGGAATTCATCTGTTGGGAAGAGCAAGACGAGGAGGTCCCCTGGGGTGATGGAGGGTGAGGAGGAAAGAGAAGGCGGGGGCGCGCGGCTGTCACAGCCAGCTCCGATGTCGGCTGATGGCTCGACGTCAGGCACGGTACTTATCAGAGTGGGGGCCGGGGCACTGAGGGTGTGTGTGTGTCTGCCTTTGGGTTGGAGAATTGGTGAGGGTGATGCCAGATCCCATTAACATGCCTTTTCATCTACACACATGAGGAAACATGCCTCACACACGCAGGATTCACATCCTTCTTGAAAATGCACACTAACATGCAAAAAGGTGCAGACTCACATGCAAGTAAAAAAAAAAAAAAAGGCTAAATTGCTTGGGAAGCTTTAATCCTTCCCTGCGGGCAGACAGTTTCACGATGTCGTGACTGTGCCACTGTGAAAAGCTGCCTTCTTTTCTCATTGCACTGTTCCTTTTTCTTTTTATCCCTCTTTCTCCACTCTCCCTTGGTGCCCCAGTTCACTCCAGTGCACATGCTCCCACTCTCACCCATTCAAACCCCCTGCTCCCCCCCCCCCGGACTTCCTCGCCCTCACCATGCCTTTCAATATTGCAGCTTCCACCAGCACATCTCCTTCACGCTACTTTTGTCCAGGAACGTTTTACATTTGCATAATACCAAACAATAACCACCCCCACCCCCACCAAAAAAGAGCAGTAAACAATTTTGCTATTATTTATTGAGGTTGAGAACATCCTTTGATCAGCTAAGTGACACAAAGGGTTGAAAAAAATGTACGGTAATTTTCCATTTTCCCACTGGGGTATTTTCCACGGCAATTACATACAGTATTGTGCAGTATATATGTGCATATATATATTATTCTCCATGCTGCATTGAACAACAAAACATACAAGACGTTAAATCACATATTCCAGGCATACTCATGCAGGCTTGTGGCCTCAATTGCCCTGGCAGGGGGCAGAGCAAAAAGACAACAGAATTGGTATGAGCTATCGAAGCAACATTATGCAGCCATATGCTTTTTCCACACTACAGTATACGTTGAACACTTTCCAGCAATGTTGTACATTTACAACACGTGATTAATTCATATTAAAAAAAAAAAAACATGCAGTTCATTTTAATGAAAACTGGGTCATAGTTCTTCAATAAAATGGTTCCAAATTGTCTCAATCACTAATATAGTAGGTTTAAAAAATGCCAAGGAGAGGATGACTGTGAAAATCACATTAATGGGGTCAAAGTAGCATTGTAATGTAATTTCGCATGATGATATGCGGAAATGGAGCTCCTCGAGTGCCGTCTAGTTATCAGTTTAATACTCATCCGTATACATAAGGTCAAGAAATAATGGGAATGCGGCTTTGATGAAGGAGGTCAGTCAATCAGTAGCGAGAGTCAGCGAAATGACACCTCATTAGGCATGCCTGAAGGCAGTCTCACGGGCCAGACCAAGACATCACTGCCATCGAGCACGCTAACGCAGCCCAGGGCAAAGATTCTAACAACTAAACTAATCTGATAGGTTTGGAATCTAATGATCACACATTATCCGCAAGGCAAGACATGAATAATCACAGATACTGGAGGAGTTTTGGGCTACTGAATCTTCCTTTCCACTTGCACTTTCCTATGCAAGTTTATATTTCATATTGCGGTGGTTTTGACATCATTGCCACGCATTTTGACATGCCAGGCTTCCAAGTTCCTTCCTTGTTTACGTCCTCAGAGGCTCATTTAGTTTTGGAGCCGGTGAAGACACTTTTCACCTATTTGGTTGTGTTTGTTTGAAGACATTGGATTGTATTTCCACCATTTGCTCAGCTGTCAAACACTCCCAAAATGTATCTGCCAAGCTTCAAAACTCAAGTGTGCTGTATAAACATCCAGCGTTAGGGCCATTCTTGTTTCCCTTAATGCACTCCCAATCAGGATGCCCATCAATCGGACATGAAATCCACATTCATCAGGCTGTCCAAAGGCCCTACATCCAAATGACTTGAAATTGCAGCACCGATGCAGAACTCCTTGAAACCCCCTTGGAGGGAGCGGAAAACGAGACTTGCATGGGAGAGGAATGCAGGGATAAAGAGTGACAGACACAAAACCATCGAGACATCCATTACAAAGGATTAACCTCATCAGGATGTCTTTTTTGATGTTTGGATACAACAGGGATGTGCTTACATGCGGAACTTGCTAATGTATAGCATGTGCGTGATCCGTAAGCCTGAGAGTCTTGGATTTACTGACAAGACAAAGCCTTCGTCAAGCACAGAATCTAAAATCACTGTCGGGCTTTTGTTCGTTTTGCTAAAATTGCTCCCATCACATATTTTTTTTATTATGTTGCCTCTGGCAATTTTTATAACGAGTTTCTTCTTGAAATATAAAGTTCTGCTATTTCATCTACAGGGATGCATTTATTCTCACCTCTTTTCCTTTTTTTAACTTGATAGAACTGGATTGGAGGGGAAAAAAAACATGAGGATGACAGAACAGTGCAGTGGGTGTGAGAGCAGTCAAAAGTTTTTAAGGAGGAAATAAAATCACATCCAAGGGGAGGACAGGCAGAGTTTTGAGAGTGAGAGGCATGCTAATTCAAGAGTTTCTTCCTGCTCTGCATTCAGGCGCAGGGACCAGGAGCTGGCTATGTATCGGGAGGTAAGCTAAACCCACTGTGTGTCAAATCTTAAATGGACTTGGCACTCAAAGAAAAACGAGGTGTGAAGAAGAAGTCACAAAGGGCACATGGAAGGGTCACCCGCAATCATGAAAATCACTAAACAGCCTCATGTCAGCCTCGAAAGGTTTGCCTGTACCCAACGTTATATCGACTCATTCTTGGTGCAAAAACTAGTTTTCATCACACGCGAGCCTAGAACAGAAAACAAGCAACTCTTTGACGTGTCTCAATCGTGACCCCCAAAACACACTTGTCGACTTTATTGTTTATCGCTAAGTCACGTGATACGATACGCCTGCTAATCCCATTCAAGTAATCCACACGGAAGCAACTTAAAGCACAACGAGCCTTGCAGCCCATCCATCGTTCATTTATGACCTATTTAAATGTGCACCGAATCGACTGCCTTCTTCATTTTTTTGGCAACGGTGTTCACAAACTAAAAAGCCAAACTAGCTCAAACATCTTTGATTAGGTAAACACCAAGAGAAACCACAAGAACCCCTCCCCTCAAATTGCGTAACAGTAAAAATTGAGGTACCGTATTATGTACCTTCTGTCATCTGGTGGAAGAGCAATTGATCCCCCCCACCCTTGTTGTTGTAGGCGATTGGCATCTATAAATTCACACAAAAATAATTTAAAATCAAATGAATTAACATCGGATCATTTCCCGCGGCACACCCGATGATCCCTCACGGAACACGAATGTGCCACGGCACACTGGTTTTGAGAAGCACCGGGCTACACCGCACGGCAACAGTAGCCGCCGTCAACAAAATCTTACGTTTGTTCAGTCATAAATAAAACATGTTGGCCTTATTAAAAATAATCTGTCGATCGTGCCAGAGGCTCTGAAGGTCCATATCAACGCAGCCCTTCACCTTCTCCCTGCATCCTGCTGGGTTCAAGGAGAGGAGCTCCTAATTAGCACTTCAACATTGAAGGAACGCAGACAAATTCTGTATGACCCTGTGGCAAAAAGTGTTCCATGGCATAACATAAAGCAGAAAACAATCGCTACTCAAGGCTACACAGGCAGCGAGCTCGGGTCTTACCTGAACATCTCGCCGAGCCCCTTCAGCACACCTTTCTTTGCTTTGTTTTTGTCCTTGTCTTTCTCCTTCTCTTTTTCCCGATCGGACTTCTTCCTTTCCACCTTTTCCCGATGTTTCAGCGTGTCATCTTTGGAGATGTTGCCATTGACAGCGGGGCCAAGGAAGAGGTCACCACTGGCGGACATTGAATCCTGACCTGATCGGGAGCTTCCCTCTGTGTCTTCGTCCACTTGAGTGACAACATGTGAGGGGCGAGTTAAAGAAATATCGTGAGAGGTTAGACAGACGGGATAATCCGTTAAGAAAATATTTCACCGATGTGTCGGATAATCGGGCCTGAATTTGATGGGAAGGGATGAAAGTAGAAAATCAGGATGAAATCCGGCCGGGTTAGCAATTTGTGTACACCCCAATTTAGATGTAAGTCACAATATGACTGAAAAACATCTTGTACTTGAATCCTAATATAAAACAGCGTCGACTTAATTTTTGCTCCTGATTACATCAGAAAAACCATTAAGGGAACATTTATGTCTCACGTGGTTTCATATCTTTGAGCAAAACACACAGAATGCCGCAGCCTCATTAAAGTTGAATATATTTACATTTCTCTCCTCGTGAGGTTTGGAGTCATCTGAAACTTCAGTGGGTTTACGCAAAGTCGGCTTCAAATATGTGCATTTAAGTTCGCCCCTTTGCCCACATCTGGAACTTTTTTTTTTTCTCCTTCAGCCTATTTCACATAAATTATGAGACCGAGGTAGTCATGTGGATCGGGTTTGTAATTTACATCTGAGTCTAATTCAATTCCAGACATCAAATGGAATCCAAACTCCTTAGGTGATATACGGTTGATTAAACTCAAAGTTCCCATCACATCTAATAAGAAGTGATGTGCAAAATGTAATTAATCTGTCTGTAATTATACATATAATACAAGTAATCTTGAAAAAGGCTCAGCGGGAACTTAATTGCAAATATGCTATAATCATATGATCCCGTCTTGCAATGAAATGGTTTTCTCTCTAAGATGTGAGGGTTTTATGCAACTTTTGACATGATGGAATGCCATCGAAATTGCGTGTTCGGCGGAGGAGGGAAAAAGAAGGAAGGTGTTACACAGAAACAATGACGCATCTTTTTGCCCGCACAATACTAAAGTAAATAAGACCCTTCAAGTTTTCGTTCTCTCATATTCAAGCTTCGTATCATGATTTAAACGCACCTGCTTCCAGTAGAATATGGTCATTGAAATGACCGAGATTAGCAGTGAGGTAAATACCGCTGTGGCAATGACGCTGGGTGGAATCATCACAAGAGAGATTCTGCAAGCGCATTGGTATTAAAGGCAGCCATGTTCTCTTTACGAGGCACCCCAAAGGTTTTCATTGCTTTAAAAGGCAGGGCAGACAAAGGCAATCCGATGTTTCCTCATCGTTCAGCGCAATTTCAGGAATTGAATGAGTCTTCCCCATTCAGAAATCGCAAAATTCCTTTCATACGTGAAAAAGTATGGCCATCCTAAAGACCTGACTGACAGCCCCAACTAGCCGAGGAACTTCGACAAAAGAGTCAGGAGGTAATTTGCAGGGAGAGAAAAACCACTGGAATCATTTTTGTGCCATTTTTGTGAAGCGTTCATGCTTTCAAAAATCAAGAACATTAAAGCTGGACTGTCAGTTCAGGCTATGACAGACAAGTACAATTGCTTGTCTCATTACAACACTTTTTTTTGGGTGGGGGCTCAAAAGTGCAGATATTCCTTTTCAGTTCTTTTTCAAATTCATCTTCAAAGGACACAACACCGAGTTGGACAAGAAGGAATGCATTTTGCCGAGCAGGATATCTTATGGGGACACATTTTACTTAGGAGATGCCAAATTATTATTTTATTTACATAAAAGTCTTGGAGCAGAGGACAGTGGCGGCTTATCTGTCAACTTTGACTATTAACCTCGGTGACGAGCACAAACTGGCTGCTTTTATCTAAATTGAAAAACAGAGTTATTTGAATATCACGCAGGGAGGGGCGGTGGATGCAATAAACCGCCGCGGCGGAAATCGCCTGCTTTCCCCATTTTTCTTTGCAGAGATAAGACTGTATTTAGTGGCTCGCCGACAGAGCTTATGAGAACAAAGCATTTCAGGCAAATATTTCCCTCTTTTTCAAACGATTCCCTCGTCCGTGTTTAATGGAATCCTTTGGTGGATAAATTGTATATATTGCAGTTACTCTTGTGGTGCTGCAGTATTATTACCTGTTGGCAAAGTAAAAGACATTCGGCTCACTATGCCCAACAAATGCCTTTTTATCAGAAAAAAAGCAAGGAGAAACGGATACATTTAAGAGCTGGTATGGATGGTGCAGGTTTTTTGGGGTGTTTTTTTGTGTTTGCTTAGAATAAGTGCATTGAGGAAGTTCCTCAATAATAAATAGTGACTTTTTTTCTGTTCTGTTTGACTACCCAGTAATACATTTTAAGCACGTAAGCATGGGAAAACATGTTGCCATGGCCTTGAACAGTTTCAGACAGTATGACACTGCCTTCATATTAATGACCATGTAACCAAGACAGTGTGTGCTGTGCGCTGTGTGTGAAACCACAATTGTGGGAATGGCGCATAAAAAACTCATGTCGAGCAACTGGTGATGACATTTATTGTGTTTGGGAATACAGACGTTCTCTAAAGGCTGTATGGAAATTTCCAGTCGGAGATCGACCCTATTTATTGCGTCAAATTAGTTGTTTGAGGCTCACACCCACCTCTTCTATACAGTACATAATACCCCACCTGTGCTGACCTAACAGAGTAAATGTAACACAGAAGTGTTTCGGGATAAGTTCTTTATAATGAAACATTCCAAGGCATAATTTAAAAACCCCTTCAGGAATTAGGACGAAACTGTTTTGTAGTCTTAAGGAAAAGCCTTATCAGTGATGCTATTTGGGAAGGGTAGCATTCAGATTGGACTCTCGGGCAATCGGAAAAGGTCATGCGGTCTAATAAATCCAGATGAACATTGTTCCAGTGGGATGGACACATCAGCCTAATTAGAGCCGGAAACCAGACGGTTGCATGTGACTCAAAACAATAGTGAATGGTGCGTGGTGTATGTAAAAAAAAAAAACAACTTACAGATATCCATGCTGTTTTCTTCCTCCGGTGCATTGCTGGCTGGTTTGTCGTACGACTTGTCAATTGCAGCTCTGAAACTGTCATTGCACCCTCGGCCCCTGATGATTCGAGAGCGTGGCCTGTTCACATTGATCTCACCATTGCGTGTTGCTGCAGCCAGGGCTGTGTGGAGGCTTTCAAGGGAACTGGACTTTTTGAGGCCCAGCGAGGGTCCGACATTTTGTCCTGAAGAACCGAGGGGAAAAAAAGGAAATTGTGTCAATCGTGCATATACCTGTACGTGGTGGCATGTGGTGGAGTGGGACCTTGATTAGATCTAAACTTCTTTTGTGGAAATATTCAGAAGACTGTTGATTCATTTGCAGCCTTGCTGACTTTCAGCACTGTGTCCAAAAGTCTTCACAGATGTTTTGCGTGTCCCGTGTTTCGAACATTTGCTCATATTTCCTGTGTCTCTGCATTTGCTGTAAATGCGGCTCACATAAGTGGCAAACATTGAAAATGGTTCGACATCTTCACACACCCCATGGAACACGTGCTTGGTAAAATTTGATGTGTCGTTGCCCTGAGTTCCTCACTCAGACATCTCAACGCAATAACACAAACCATATGACTTATATGCAATACTCGGTTGGGGATCTTAGCATGTTTGAATTTGGCTAAATGAGGTGTGACCCACTGCTGCTAGTCGTGACCCTAGTGGGTCTTTAGGTGGAGTATTGCACTGACAAAGACATATTACGCAAAGAAAATAATCCCCCATGTCTTTAAGAAAATAATGTAGTATCCTGTATGCAGTACCTCCCCTGAAATCTATTTGTTTTTGAGAAGAGTTGGAGCAATGCCAACTCAGGGAATGGGCTGATGAGGAAGACGAAGGTCTTTAGGGGCACAAGGGACTCCCCGCCTTCTGCAACATCTGCTACCAATGCACCTAAATGAAGTGCGGGTTATTTTCTTCCATTCATTGTGCCGATAGATCTCCTGTCTAAGAAGTCAAATAGGCTAAAAAGGTCAGCTGTTATCCACTGGAGTCTGTTTTCCAGACTGTTAAATGCACTGTCATGATTTTTAAACTCCATTTTATCCTGCATTTCATCAATACTAGTCAACGTGGCCAATCTCAGGAGAACCAGGAACCAATTTCGAAAGCACCATTGCAAATAACTGAACAATCCTATAATGCCTCATCAGATGAGTTTACATGCGCACCTTCATGCAGGCTCTAACGATGAAATAAAATTGTACCGTGGGCTAAAGATGCCATGGGGGTGTGGTTATGCAATTTGCTTCAAATAAATGATTGAACTGGGTGAACGACCAAACATATGTCGCCATGCAGTCGAACTTCTTTTCAACGTCACTCGAGGTACATTGTAAAGAGGTTCGACTGTACTGGAATAGCATAAAAATATTGCAAAGACACACACACACACACACACACACACACACACACACACACACACACACACACACACACACACACATTCACGAAAGCATTTTGTGAAAAGCCAAGAGAAAGCAGACTCATAGAGCCAGAGAGCGTTTGACACAATGGCATTGCAAGCACGTTCAGGATGCAACAGCTGATGGGAACCAAAATGACATCTGCCGTATTCGGAACCCGGGAATTATCCTCCCACTCTCCTTTCGGCATCACCATCCACTTCACCATTGTTTCTCACAAGTCTGGTGAACGGCAGAGATTCGCAGAAACACAAAGACGATGGAAAAAGCAAGGAAAGGAGAGAGCAAAAGAGAGAGAGAGATAGTTTGGCCAAAGACCATTGCCAGCTGCAACCTTCCTTTGTTTTCATCAGAAAAATCCCAAGCTCTCAAGGGAGAGTTTGACGGACAGCTCTCTGTCTGCCATTCTATTATGTGATTCCTATCTCCGGAGCCTATGCGCTCTGCTCCTCGACACCCTCTTATTCAAAGCCATGAAAATACATATTCCCCCATTGCATACAGACAAGCGTTTGCCACTCCCCACACGCCTGGAGGAGAAATGAAAATCATCGCACTGAAACGCACACAAAGAAAGCTAATCTCCACAAATAGCGGGCGCACCTGAAATTGTGTCACGTCTCGCGGAAAAACTTGGCCACCATTTTGTGTTCCTTAGGCATATTAAGTGCATGGGGCTGTTAATTGGAGAAGATCCATTGCTATTAAGCCTTAAAGGGGAGCCATGGCAAACTCCATGAATAAATCAGCAGCAGTTATTACGGGGACAGGAGCCCATACTATAATTAGAGCAACTAAAACTCTGCAACCCGGCTATCATTCAGCATAGGCCCTTGCATGTAAAGATATGTGTACGGACAGGAGCTCCATTACACATAATTTATTCAAAGAGCCGGGACGGTAAAAGGGTAATTACGGTAAAAATAGCCTCCAAGGTGGTCAGGGAAAGGCCAAGTCCAGGTACCCCAAAGGAGGGAAGATATCCCTGGAGTCAGTCGGCCTTGTACGTCTCTGGCAGTGGGAGATAATTAGCATGACAGAGGACGTCCTTCATACTCTAAACATGTGTCGTGAAAAAAAAAAAAAATCTAAATTAAGGGGATTTACTGGTAAAATCTCAATCAGGATTACAGGATCCCTTGCCATGAATGCTTTGCTCAACCAGAGCATCTTGGAAAACATTAATGGCCAGACTAAACCTCTTTGTCTCACCTGGATCTTAACAAATTATTTTCCACGACACTTTGGACAACTTTCCACTTCCACATGACTCAGAATGACGCTGAAACATTTTGGGTGAGATTGTTTGAAGAAAACTTGACCAGACCACTAAAATCGCAGACCTCAAGTTATTCTATCACCCTGTGAAAGGTTCTCCCAGTCACAGTATCTGCTGCAGTATGAACAAAACAGAAATTGAGTCATTCCAAACAAACGTGAAAAATAAGAATAACAACAAAAATAATACCCTGATGACGATGTTTGGAATCCAAAGTCTTTTTATATGTAGAGAATGAAGTGAATAAACTGCAGACCTTGCCAGAAACAGAAGAACTGACATTTACATTTGCGTTTACATTTTCGATAAAGCTAATTGAGTTCTTGAGCAATTCTCATGTAACTCAGGCGCAGGGATGAGATATCATGGTCGCAATGTGCATCCAACCCAACACGTGGGCTGCACTGATCACTCATCATGAAGGCCTTTTATACGATGAATCCCTAATTATTCCCGTCTCTCGTAACCCAAGCGTGTCCATTCATTTTAGTAACAAGCTACAAAGCAGAGCTAAACTAGGCCTACATTGGATCGAATACAAAAAGCCAAAAGGTGCTAACAAGCAATTGACGCCTTTGCAAGTACTACTCACTCACCACTTGGCTACAAGTAGCCCTCAAACCTGAGCCGTGTTGAATATTTTCTTTGTCAGCGCCGCGGCAAATGATCCATCACTGCCGGTCACTATTCACGGCTATCCAACTACTTTGAACATTGTGCAGAAGCCGTAGGAAAAAGCCAACCTTGGCTTGTAATGAGTTAGTAATGGGAAAAGAGGGGAGTCACCTGCGTAATCTCTTTTATCGACCCACGGCACCATAATGGCCCATTGTAATAATTGAATAAAAGTCCAGGCACATATGCTTACCTCCACTGGTTCTTGTACTGCTGTTAATCTCATCGGCTACTGTTAAAGAGCACAAATAAGCATGAGAGCGATCATGCAACATGCAAAGAAGACAGGGGACAATGTCGTTCGGGAAAAGAAGATGTGTTATTTGAAAATGGGGTTTCAAAGTTGAGGATATTACATCCCATGCATGAGCCTGTCAGTCACGAGGCTTACAAGGCACAGATATTTCTGCAAACTGAGGTTCCTCACGTATTTTTTTTCTTTCTTTGCCCAATCTCATTCTCCATCTAAATGGAACAGGAACACGGGGTGTCTGATCATTTTAGCATATTTCAACAATGAGGCTCTTCAAAGACAAGAAATCCATCTGCTGCTGTGATACGGGAGCACCTGGAATAGATTTCAGAGGAGAAAACCGAATTCCCTACGGCCACTGACGTGAGAGTTTGTCGGTGAGCGTGTGAAGCACTTAGCCAAGGTAGTACCGAAGAAGAGAAGCCTCCGTAACGAGGAAAAGAAAGTTCTGAATTTTTAATGGTCTTTAGAAGACAAACCGGTTTACACTGTGATTTTCAGATTATATGTCACACTTTTTTTTTTTTTTCCCACAGCTTTCCTGGTCCTGCCACTTCAACTCATCACAATTACAGCTCGCGCTGGCACCTGAAATCCCCGTTCGTGGACTCTACCTTCAGCCAAAATGTGATACAGGATTCTAAAGGAAGCCATTTCCTTCTAAAAAGAACACAATATAAAATAAAAAGACAAATGAAGCGGCTCTGCAGCTACAACACGTTTTAATCTTCTGCGAAGCTTCTCGAGTCTGTGTCAAATATTTTTTCCAGAGACATTTATGAAGCCGGAGGTCACTGATGGTAAAGAGAGAAGGCCTGGATCAAAGAGCCATTATTTTCAAATAGATTCGATTGGGTTGAAGTCAGGGCTTTCAAATGCTTCCAAAGCAAATGCGTCCAACCGTACATGTGAGATATAATGATATTAGAAAAATGCATCAAGGCTGATTTAAAGATTGTCTGATAAGTACAGTAACTCAGTTCCTTTTCAGAACTAATCAAATAGACTAGTAAATGCTGACATCACTTTGGAACAATCGAGAGGCTTTTTTGATAACGTCCAGAGATAAGAGGTGCATTTGCAGCCACGAGCCATCTCATCCCCTTTTGCACTCCGCTCACTTCCTGTCCTCAGACAAATCAGATTATATTTGCAACCGAGACTGAAAAATGTATGCTAATTGGGAAGAAAAACAAACACAAATCTCAAATTGCAATTTGACTGAAAGCAAAAACTTTGGCGCAGGACTTTGTTATATGGCAAAAGGCAACCAGACTTCTACCAGACCCTAGTTTGAGGTAGGGTTTGCATCATCTCTCGAGAAACAGTGAGGAATGGAGATGTCAGATAAGATTCGATCAGCGCTCCGAGAGAAGGTAATTACTTTAAAATCAGTGAGAGAGACTCTGAACATAACATCCAACGTGGTAGTAATGAGAGTCACGGTCACAGTGCTTTTGGATGGGTTTCTTATGCATGCAGACAAAACCCCAAGAGTTCACGTTCTAATGGGTTAATTCAGGGAACACTAGGAAAAAAAAAAAACCTCAACGTTTATGCGTAGTATTAAACGAGCAAAGCATTTACCCAGATCCATGCTCTTGGACTTGCGTGACTTGATGATCTCCAACTGAGCAGCATTTTCATACTGCTTGGTGCGCTTTTCTGACATACTCTGCCGGGCGAAGCCCTCCCTTTGAAACGAACCATCCGGGTCCGCATCGGGGCTCAATGAGCTGCAGTAGATGAAAAAGAGAAGGTTAGGTAGGCAGTTTTCAAGTGGGTGAAGGCAAGCCCATTTCAAAGCCAAAGAATCAGCATAATCAAATGACATTTTTTTTCACCACTGCAATTATGAACATATGTTTGAAATAATATCATTCTGACAGAGTCAATCCAAACTAAATGACATCTCATTTCAAATGTTAAAGCTTTAAGGAAGTGGTGTGTTGGATTTAGTAACGTTGTGGCTGGCTAGCGGGTCTAGTTCGCATCCACCTGTCGCCGTAATAACGGCAGGGGCAATTCTGATCATATGAATAAGGTGATATAATCTAGCAATGAATATTCATACAAGCCCCCCCGCCCCCAAACACTCCGTTACATATAACAGCCCTCCACACTCATCGGTTTCAAAAATACACAGCCAACCTATTTCACCATTACGATGAGGATTCTATTCAAGGACACCTTAACGCCTTGCTCGGTTGGTTAAGGGCAAGTTTAGTTCTGTGTGAGACAGCCTGATGTGAGGATGCTCTGGGGTCAGTATCACTCAATAACACCCCCCCCCCCCACCCAGTACGTCTGAGGCAGGAGCAGAGTCCAGGCTTCCATTGCAATTTACCTTTGAGATGCTCTATCTCTGTCTGGATCTTAATTGAAAATCGGAGGGGAAGAGAGAGGCAGAGTTTGGGTGAAGGGGCCACTGGTATTTGCATTACAATGAGGGTGAACACCTTGCCATTCAAGGAGATAGATGTGGTACTAATGAAGTCTTCCAAATGTTGCAAGCATGAAGCGTGTTTTTCTTTTCCACTTTACAAATGAGCACACAATAGAAAGGCGCGTACAACACCGCGGCACAGGTAGACGCGCCGGCGCTCGCCTGCATGCAAACAACTGTGATTTGGTTTGTCGCGCTTCATTCAACACAAGACGTGCTTCACGTGTCACCGAGAGGCCGGTGTTCATGTGTCACTTTGCCGTCACCTGCGCTCGCCATTCCTACGTATGCTGCGAGACCGGGGCCGCCTCCCGCCGACACGGGAAAGAGAGAAAGTGGTGCAGGAAGAAAAGAGTGACAGCAGAGATGTATTATTCATTCGTTCATCATCACTCTCTTTTCCCCTCCCATATCTCACACGATACAACGCGCCATTGTTTTGTCTGAAACAAATGTATCTTTCTTGATTGAGACGGTTCAGAATCTATTTTTCACTCACCCGGCCTAGCTGCTCTGACAAATGACTACAGAGAGTGTGTAAACATAAACAAAAGCAAAAAGTAGCTTGGCGTGTCCAGTGGGAGACTTCAGCCGAAGCGAAATTAAATTTAGATTTGTTTTAGGAAGTTTCCACATACACCGAGGCTGGGTGCTGTGCTGAGATTTTCCGATATGTCAGGTGTGAGATGCATTTAAAATACTGAATTTGGTTCCCCGTGTGCACGCAAGCACAATCCATGCTCGCAAAGAAAACGTCTCCTAACAATGCAGACATTTTTACTGGTTTGTTCTTTCTAACAATTTACAGTCGGGTGATAAAAGCTAGTTCGCGAGACAAGGTGCACTGTTTTCTAGAGCGGCTGTTTTGAATTGCGTTCGTTGAAATTTGGACGATGAGACACTATATTTAAATCCATCCTACCATAGTAGTAATCTACACAGCATACCTTCAACAAAAAAAAAATTTGTTTGACATTGTTAGAAAACGTGTCACGTTAACACTTCAAATAGGGTATTAAAATGATCATGAGGTTGTATTTCTATATTATTTATAATTCAACATAGGGAGTTGCCCTCAATCTGTTAAATACAGTGTCGGCATGCCCTTTCATAACCACAGATTATATTGCTGCAGTAACGAATCGAATTCCGCGTGTTATTGAACATTGACGTTACCGGTTTCGTATCAACTCGGCAATTTGCCGACCACATGATATGGAGCGGAGCTTAGGCTGCCAGAGAATTAAAGCTGACACTGTCATTTAGTTGCAGTTGCAATTCCAGTCTGAGTGAATCTACATTGCAAGTGAAAGTGAATTAAATTCCTGCATCTGCACCTTTTCCCAGATCTTTGCTAAAACGTAATGGCTTCTCCCTCGGCTCATGTGCCACGACTCTACAATGTTTTAGAGTAATCAGTTTTATATAATTTATGCAGAATGTTGTTCACTTGATCTGCCCCGCTATTTGTGATTATTCAGCGTCAAAATGACTGCGTTATATCATTTGAATAACATACACCAGTGCACTACTTTGTCCATACGTCGACAAATTAGAATTTTTTTTTGCTGGAGAGAGTGGCAATGTTTTTTATTTTCCCGAGTCCATCTTTGCTGTCAGTGCCTCTGGCCGTTCCTCAAAAGTGAGCCCGAACCCATATGGATAAAATGTTCCCTCATCTCTGCTTCTTTAAGCAGCGTTTAAAAGCAATTTCCAACATTCCAAGCAGATGCTTCCGTCTACGCTAAGCGTCCTGATGTCATCTAAAATTAACTAGCGCTGAGCATTGCTCACAGGCAATGCTTTGGAGTGCATTTTAAATCAACCTTCACCGTCTCCATATTCTCCTGGCAGGCAGTTAAATGTGTCAAAGCATCCCTGCAGTGGCATTAAAAATGCTAAAAGCTCTTCTTGTTTTTAGAGGAGCTCAACCAGGAAGGCCGGAGCTGAATTTTGAACTCTGAACTCTATGCACTTACCACACACACACTGTTGCCAGCACTTTTAACTTTGCGGAGTACTGTACTTCTATCCAGTCAATAGTACTTGTCCTCAGTAGGGTCACGTGTGAGCTACAGTTTATCTCCGCTGGATTTTGGAGACAGGCAGGGAGCACACCATGAAGTGGTCACGAGCCAATTCCAGTCGTGTTCATTATTAAAAACAAACAAACAAAAAAAGTACGTTGACTTGATAGGGTATCAAAATATCCCAGCTCCACCTGTCATTTGCTCTCATCTTTTCACTGAAATAATAGTCACAGAACTCTTCATCTGCAAAATTAAACCGCGGCGAAAACAAATTCTTCTGGCAAACGAAAAGGTGTCCGTTTGCCGTGCAGCATTATTCATGCTGATATCCACCCGCAAAAGGAGGTCACAGACATTGAGTAGCCCGCATGGAGAGCCTCATGAAACATATGCAAGGTGAGGAGAAAAGAGGGAGCATGTATGACATGCTTGTACCAACGGCGCACCACAGAGACACCGTAAATATTCATGAAGCTAGAGGGGACCATTAGCATTTCTGGGAAAACACACAGACGCGTGTAATTCTTAGTTATACAGTATTCCTGATGGCCGAGTCTATTAGCGGATCAACTGAAGAAGCGGACCGCCTGCAATATTCGCCTGAAAGTTTGTTCACGTCTATATGGACCGTTTCCACTTTATATGTTAATGTGCAATATTGTTTACCAGCCAATGTGTATCTAAACACCTGTGAGACTGAGGGCCTCTGTGCAACAGAGTGTGCGAGCAGGCGGGTATGTGCATGCAGGTCTGGACGTGCGTGTCCGTGTGTGTGTGTGTGTTTGCGCATGTGTGTGTCGACGTGTGCGAGACTGCTTGCCTGCAGTCCTTTTCAATCTCGGCAGGTTGACAGAGTAGATCAGAACTCCCGGGCAAATTAAAACAAACATGGGGATTGACATACGTTATGGAAAGCAATGCTTGAGTTGTCATTTTTGGGGATTTCGCACAGATTTTGCACAAGTGGATGAAAGCATAATCGCTGAGCTACTAAACAAGTTGTCAGTACATTACGGTTTTAAGAAATGTCTGGTTGGTTTTGGACGGCTACGTTTGCTGTCATACGTCCTGTACAAAAGAACAGATCCATTGGGCCTCAAAAGTTAAATCTCCAAAGCTTTATGCCACATTTCCTTAACCTCGGTTTTGAACATACAGTCCCGCTGCATGTCAGATTAAAAATAATAACCAGTTGATTGCATCGTATTTAGTTTTGAAATTTGTACTAGCCCAGTCAGTGAACTTCAGGTGGCCCGACACAGTCGCGTTGCGGCCACGGTTAAATGTCAAACCGTGACACTGGGTCATGACACCCTGTTGAATTTCTACATTTGCTTGTAAGGCCTGTAGAGGGAGCTGCTCTGGCTGTTCTGATTATTCACGCAACCGTTTTGAATACAACACATGCAAACAGATAGGAACATGATCACACATTATTGGCTGGGGAGGCCAAGAAAATGGGAAAGTAGGCCAGTTTCTGTCTTTTGTCAGACTGATTCCTCTACACATTGCTTTACATCACTCACTAAAAACCTGACTTTGAATGATTTTGGCAGGGCAGTTGTGACCTTGGCAAAGAGTGTCCCATGAGTAAGGACAGCTGCAAAATACTGAGATGACCAGAGGTGAAACGGTGCGTAATACATATTCAAAACATATACAGGGCCTTTGGTGTGCTGCTGGAAGAGCTTAACTTAAAAAAAAAAAAAAAAATCAAATACCAAGTATTCTTGGACCACATCCGGTAATTACGGCATGCTTGTTCATGATAATAATTTAAAAAAGGAGCAAGAGAGCCACCACAGGTCAGGAGGAGAATGCATTTGAGCAGCTGTGAGCTTTTGAGTGAAAGAAAACGTGTCCCCGCCATATGTTCATGGATGTGACTTTGACGAGATGAATTATTCACCATAACCCTCGGCAGTGGTACAGAGTACACCTCTGCACTGTGAGCAGTTTCGCAAGTCATGCATAAGCGTGCGAGAGCAGGTACCGACCGAGAGGAAGCTTGGGTGTGCCGTCGACAAATGGGATGTACAATAATCCGCGACATGGAAAATGTCTACTTCATGGAATGCTGAATAAATCTATTCATTTTGAGATTAGACCAATAAATGCAAACTTTGAATCTTTCTGTGAATAGAGAGTTGGTGCGAATATCACTCGTGTGACAGAAATCAGAGCGGGTGCAGACCTGAAATGGTCTCCGGCTTTATATCTTATTTACCGGGATTACAAATACTCCCAAAAGTCATCTCGCCACGTTGGACCCTTCCCAAGTAAAAATACAAAACATCGAGTGCTGCAATAACCCTTTCAATGATTTCTTGTTTAAGATGTTGGCATGCTGAGTTACAGCAACGACGCGGCCAACTTTTCAATTCAAACACATTGTCGGACGGTCAACATTTGTAAATGAGAAGATAGATTTCCCCCTCATTTTAGCATTTGCTGTCGATCGCGAAAGGGAGAAGGACAGTCTGTTGCTTACCAGTCATTCTGACTGGGCAGCTCATGAATCCACGGCATCGGGTTCTCTCCCACGAATCCCAAGTCATCGTGCGAGCTTGAAGATGACTGGTCCGAGAAGTGGACGGGAAGCAGGGGTGGCCTGTCGTCTTCGATCAACACAATGTCATCCTGTGGCATGTTCACAGTCGGAGAGAGCTGGTATTTACCTATCGCAGATGGCAAAAGACAGAATGGATCGAGTCAGCCTGCTGTCATCTTGACTCAAGAAACTTTTTTTTTGGGAACAAAATCAACATTTAATTTCACTAAACTCACATCGAGTGCCGTTTTGCAAAGCTGAATGTCAGCAAAAGCCCAAAACTGACATCCAAACCAAATTTCCAATGTCACCCGAGGCCCGACCAAATTTTAAAGTATGAGTCATTGGAGCCGTTCTCCTCGAACATTTTCAGAGGACAAAGACGTGCAGGAGAAGAGCTTTTCTGATTTGTATTCCGTCCTGCGTGACCTTCCCTGTAGCAGACTTCTTTGAATTGCCCCTTTACATCTCTTCAGCAGTCAAAGTCAATAGGAAATGTGCCGCGTTGGTTGACACTCAATAGCGCGAGCGGGAGAAGAAGGGTTGTTCAGTCCTGTGAGATGTCCCAATGAGTAGAGAGGTGGAGGATTCTTCCTGCACTTTGATCAGGCCTTTGTCTCGGTAAAGGGCGGAAAGAGAAGTTTTCAAGTTTGAAGGCAAAGTCAAGAAAAGAGTTGGAGCACACATCTGATTCCAATTAGACAAAAGGCATTGAGAGATGCTCAATCCTTTTGTGCTGTGCCTGTGTTTTCATTAGCAGAGAGACATTTGGACGATTTAATGGCTGAGGAACAACTCCGCGGAGTTGCGAACAGCAGAGAACAACGTTCGCCCTGCCAAGAACCCCAAAATGATTCAAACAGGTATTTAATTTCACAGAGTGCCAACTAATGACAGATGCATGCTGCGGAAGTAATTTTGAGCAGCAATTACCGCAGCCATGAGGTGTATAATTCAGTTTACTTTGTTGCCGGGACAAAATAAATTAATAAAAGGAAAATAAAGATACGAAACAGCTGTGCAGAAGAAGCAACTGCTGCAACTAAAATTAACCTTTAACTCAACCGATAATACAGTCCAATACATTTCATGTCTCATGGTCTGTGAGTCATTTGAATTTATACAAACCACTGTTATTTTTAAAACATGTTGTTCGTGAATGAAAACAACGCGAGGCCAGATTCTCATGGAAGGATATTTAGATTTAGCACCTACAAACAAGTTAAAATGTCTGCCAACATTGTATAGGGGAAATGAAGGCAATTTCTCACTTGGGCGGCTTGACAGGGAACTCTGGGTAATTGAATTCATGGGCACTGTAAATCAGCTTGGGGAAGGCCAGTCACAAACTCCAGGCAATTGCTGAAACTGAGCTGTCTGGGTGAGTGGGTTCAATTTAGCTGGACATTGATAACATGCATACATACAGTGATCATACTGGCTCGTGCTGGTGATGTTTGTCTGAAATGATAAGGTCAGGGTTCACATCTATCTGAATAAAAGCATGTCCCTAATATGTTATGCGGGATATGATAAACCGATGAGTGCTGCTCAAAAAAGCCTCTTTTTTGCATGAAGAGAACTTTATACGATATACAGTATATATATATATATATATATATATATATGTATATATTCATATGGCCAACGGTACCATTCTTAGATCTCTGATTTTGTCTACATATGGTTATGGGTTTTTTTCTTTTTTTTATTCCATTAGTACTAAAGCCTGGAAACGCATGGAGAATAAAAATCAACTCTCTGCGCGTTCTGTTCAATATAATACAGTTTAAGAGCATGTGTGGAAAGAAAACAGGTTTAACTAAGTGGTACGGTGATGCTTTGAAAGATGATTATTATTAGAGAAGCTGCAACTCTTCCTTTTGTCACTATTACAATAGCAAAATTATAGCTCACTTGCCGGTTTGATAATGCGGCACAAAAAGTACTTGGACTTAACTGATGCACATAACAGGACAGTTGACAGCTAAAATGTTTCAAAGAAAGTTCAATATTTTTTTTTCCATTCGATTTTACTAAAAGTGTCTGACATTTTGTTCGTACGCCTTTTTTAAAAATGTAAATTCCAACATACAGGTTATCCACAGAGGTGTATGAAGGAGCGCTTCTCTGAATTTGCATTAGGCCTTGGAGGACGTCTTTGCTATCAATGTGGCTTTCATAAACAGTTAATATTTATGTTCAGATTTTTTTTCCGATCAAGATCCAGAAAGGGTTAATATTTGGTTATGTGTGAGTTTTTGGAATACAATGATTTTTTTTTTCCTTCAGTGCAGTTTTTAGAGTTTGTTGAAGAGTAACTTGCCATTTTTTAGTGTCACTCCAGGGCATGGCTCATGGCCATGGAGTTGGAAAAGCACTCTCGTTGCAGGAAAGAGCGATCATTCTCTTTGACGTGATTTGTCGGCAAAAAGGTGACTTATTAGCACTTTCACTCTGTGTTTGGAGGAACCGAGGTGCTAATGGGACACCTCAATTCACATCCTAACATGTGACTTTCTGTTACAGTCAGGTAGTTCACTTTATTTTATGTCATTAAAAATGTTCAGATTCTGTGCCAGCTGTTTGGTGATATTGAAGCCGCAATGTTCTTCCTCCCTTTGGCGGCGAGCGCAGACACAGACAAATGTATTGGCTGGCCAGAGAGAGCACCTGGCTACATCCATTCCGGTGGACCAGTGGATTCACTCTTCTGACTCTTTGCCTTCCGAGCAAGGTGCCACCCACTGAGATATTGAGCTCTAAGGTGAGAGGTCACACTAATAGGACACATCCATCTTCTTTTCTCCATTTGTGTCCAAAACGCATACTTCTACTTTCTGCTCTGTTTTCTTATCCTTCCCTTGTGGTTTATTCATCTGGGGCGCTTTATGGCCTATTGACCATTATGATGAAGGGGTCGTTCGTGAACCCATGCTGCCATCGCCATCAGTCCCATACATATATCGGAATGGGTAAATTCACTAAGTACACGCTGGTGAAAACAAATGCTCTGAGAGCGAGGCACAATTTGCTCACAGTGTTCCCCAACCTTGCATGTGGGATTTTGTCGTCAATGCAATTAAACGGAACATTTAGTTGAGTGACACTGAACTCACCCAAATGGCTCAGACGTTAACAAGACTGAGAGACGACACCACTGAAGCATCGATCTAATATCGTATTCTTTTTCTATTCACACATTTTATTATCATAAATAATGCGCGCAAAGCACAAACAAAGCTAGCACAATCCACCGGTCGATGCCACCGACAGAAGGAACAGTGGTCGCCTTTGAGATCGGCTCTCGCGAGACAGGTGCTGCGGCACTTTGTGTTTGGGACATTTCATGTGGGAGGAAAGATAAAAGTGAACATGCACACACTACATCACAACAAGATGTTCTTTTCCTGTTTTCCAAGAGGATTTTCATTCATCTTTGCCACCTACAGATCCCACACCCTGCTGGCTTGGGAAGCCTGGCCAAATGGTCACATTAATAGACAGAGTGTTGGATCGCGGGCTTCAATTTTCACCCCAGCATGTGGACTTGACACCCAGCAGCATTTTTCAGTCAGACAGAACGGAAGGTAAAGCCGGGTGTGATAACAACCTTTGCATCCTCGCCTGGCTGTCACTGTCACACTGTGCGCGCACTGGAAATTTCACTCCACTTCATAGTTCTCCTCCACACACCCAATTTTGTTCCGTTTTCTCAGTACGAAAGAAAGTCCTGCCCTTCCACTCCCCAAAGGCAAAAGGGTGGGTGGTTTGAAAGAAAGAAAGAAAAGGACTAACGTGTCAGAAACGCATTTAATATGAGCCAGGAGTCGGCCAGAACATACTGCACTTCACCCCCTGCTTGTTATGGATTCAGCCGAGAGCTTTGTGCATGAGTGACGACAAAGCTGACAATACCACAACGCCGCATGGTTTGCTGAAGAAAAAGGGGAAAATCGGATTGCTTCTTACTATTAATATCGAGATGTGTGCGGTTCATACACAAAAATGCACACGTCAGGGAGTCTGAATGATGGTCTGCAACCCCTCAGCCAAGACCACGGGTTAGTTACACTGCAATCAATGACAGCATCTGGCTCAAGTGTCATGTCAGACTGTTCTCATGTGAATGAAGTAGAATACTGTGTGAAAAGTAACCAACTTCAAGAGCTCAACTTGTCCCTATGGCAACCATGCACAAGATGATTCAAACAGCCTCCACTGCATGCAGTTACATGGACACGATCCATAGTTTCGAAGCCTCTGTGATCATTTACCAGTTCTCGATATATCGAGCTGTCAGTCAAGACCTAGCATATCATGGCCTTGCAGAGCCACATCATAACATCTGCCCCGCAACCACAACTTTCACATCTCACTCATCCCGAGCAATCTATGTCATATTGGTAGACAGAACAGCTACTGCCTCAAAATATGTATTTTTTTTCCTCAAAGGTCGAACAGTAGGACAACGCCATTTTTATTGGTATCCATTGTCAATGTATTTCAGTTGTGCCCATTTTGCCAAATAATAAGCAGCCAGGATGAATAGACGGCGACTGAGAATAAATGAAATATTTTGGTGATTTTTCAAACTCAAGTCGTGTCTCCCAAGACTAAATTATAATGTCGGAGAAAAGAAGGCCTGTCATAGCCCAATCGGCATGGGTTAATGAGCGCAAGGCTCAGAGGCAGCTTGAAGAAAAAGAACAAAACAGACATTTTTCGCCCGCAGTAAGACAAGTCGCAGATCTAAGACGGCGCTGAGCTTTAGTTGTGATGTGAACTTTGCAGCCTTAATTCTGAAAACTTTTCCTCTTGACCCATTGGATTGCAAGTCTGCAGGATGAGATGGGCATCAGGCACCCTTGAAGTTTCCACTGGAGAGAAACTTTCTTGCCCACAGAGCGCCGACAGTTGCCGCTTTTGATCACAGCGGAATTCACACAAGCCTGTGTCAGAACAGCCAGTGGAATAAATAACTAAACTGGGAGGAAAACTCAATCAATTTGGATGTATTTTATTTATTTAACAGATGAAAGACCATCTAAAAAAAAAAAAGAAAAAAAAGGAGATGGGGTGTCAAAGGTATGGAGTCAAATGTCAGGCTTATTGATCTGAAGGCTTAATTAACCATCAGAAAATTCTGTCTGACACAGTCTCTGATCTACTATCATCAGTGGCAGAGTGGCACCACTCTGACTGAACTCTTGTGTGTGCGTTCGTGCGTGCATGATACGCATATAAATGAGACGGGTGGGATGGCGAAAAGGCGAAGATCATTGACCGATGACAATGTCATGTCACCCCATTTGCTGTCGCTGGCGAAAAGTCAAGTGCTTCAAGAGGGGCTCAAGATGGAATGGGAAGGGAGCAAGAACAGATGAAAGAAGGTGGTGCGGGAGCGGGGGGGCGGGGTACAAAGTACAGTAAGCAATATGAACACGAGACAACGGAAATCCTAATTTGAGGTGATGAAAAATGGCTTCATTCCATCATCCCATAGGAACAGACTCGCTCAACCTGGCTAGTTGCGCATGCAAGTGAAAGGCACATCGATAGTGAGATGACAGCAGTGACTGGTGGTGGATTGAATTGCCAATTCCAATACAGCCAAAGAGCTCAGATGTCAGCCAGTTGATGTCAACCGGACAGATTGGGAATTGCCTTGAGTGAAACCGGTCAGGAGTGGAGTGAGCGCAGGGGAGATTAGCAATGACGTTAATCCCTTCGGGGTTTGAATGGTGAAACGTGGTGTGTCGATGAAGAGCTTTAGGGGTGCGGAGAAGGTTGTGAGAGAACACTGGGGGATATCAGAGAAGCTAGCACAGAACTCTGTTTTAAAAAGACACTTTTTTTTTTTTGGAAAGGTAAATGGCAAATACGCACAAGCACATTTTAGGACTTTAAAATCTGACTAACTGTGCTGAAAGAGAGCATTGGGAAAAAAAAATGATGTAAATATGACTTACCAATCCGTCCAACTGAATTTGCTCGTGGTGTGGAGGTTTTCTCAAAACCGTCAATGCTTTCATACAGGGAGTGGGAGATACGCCGCTCGTGTTTTTCTTGATGACTGGAAGGGTTTCCAGGATGGCCCGGTATAGGTGGGCTGCCAGGGACCTCCTACAGAACACAAGACCGGGTGAGTATGAACAGAAGCTTCGACACTTGTATACTTGTACAATAAATATAAATATGTAAAAATAAATGGTGGCACAGAGTGTGAGTTCAATTTCCCAAAGCGGTACAGCAATCAAAAGTTGTATCTCATTTAAATTCGTCCTTGTGCATGGAATGGAAGTGCTCATTTGAGTGTTTGACAAAACACCGTTCTCCAAAATCATGTCGGAGAGACTGATCTCAGCTTGCGTCAGTATTTTCTGGCTGAGCGGTGCGAAACGGTTCCTGCAGTGAGCTAAGCTGGCCAAAAGCCGATAAAAACTCCACGGATTTCCCGTGGGTCGATTGGCAGCTGTCTCAAACAATAAATCCGGAACAAGTGACATTTGTCATGCAGCCAATGTGGAGGCCTGCTAGTTACCCCATTGTACAAATCAGTGCATGTACCAGTTTTGATAAGTGAAGAGCGGTTTAGCCTTAGGCTTCGGGACGCATTGGTAGAGATGCGTTTGGTCTTCAACAAACTAGAGACCTGTACACAACATTTTTACAGAGACCTCGCTCAAAGCCCGATACTCAAGATCTGTTTGACTCTATAACTCAAGCATGCTTTGAACCAGGAGTCTCAAGATAATACAGTTATTGATGTCCAACATTTCTCTTCTGGCTTCCAGCCAAGACAGACAAGCGTAATAGAAACCTTGGACGCAGAAAAAAAAAAAACATGAGCTCAAGAAAGGGAATCTCTGGCAAACACAGTGATGAAATTTGCATGATCTGTTGTTCCTCTGAATTATGAGAGCTGCCATGTTAAACTCTCAAGGGAGTGGCAAAACCTGGCTCGAGATCGGAGATGCGTACAAACCAACTGGGACTTATTGGATTGGTTTAAATAAGGTTGAAAAAGCAGCTGAACAACATTGATGAAAGCAAACAGAGAACAGCAGTGTGCATTAAACGAATGCCTGGGTCAACGCATACATAATATGATCACCAATGGCAGGGGTCATAAATAGGTGGCCTTCGACGGTTGAAACTCTGTCAGGTTCAAATTTGCGAAATGAACATTTATTTGATATGCTTGACACTCGATCAGTGAATCCCATGTGGTGGTTGCTTGGCGTGGAAAAAGTCGTAAACTAGGAGCCGCATTGTAAACTACTGGCTGAGAATGAACAGATTAAAACACCAGAAATATAACCAGAGAAGAAATATAGATCAAGATAAGGAAAGAAATCAGACAATCTCACTCTGTGGAGCTGTTTTAAATAGATGCTGCGTTCTGCGCATGTTAAAACGTAATCATGCTGACATTGTTTACCGACTTGGGAAAATTGACACCAAAAGCAGTGATGTTGGTGTGAAATCCCGAGACTGCGGGCATTACTATGCCAGAGTAGTAATCCAAAATTTAGGTCACTTCCAAGAGGACCCATTCAACGACTGCATTATTTAGCGCAAGCATCAATTAGCCACAACTTCAGGCCCAGAGAGGTTGTTTGCAGAATGTGGAATATGTTTCCTCTTTATTTTTGGGCCGTGATGCGAGGTGGGGATGGTCAGTGAACCTTCCGATTGTTCCCCACCCCAACTTTAACCCCAACCCAATGACTAAGCAATCAGTTCAGAACAAGAAAGATTTTGATCATTCAATCCAATCCATGCGGTACATTTTCATCAAAGACTTTTTTTTTTGGTGTGTGTGTGTTTCTTTAAGACTTTCTTCTAATCATTTTTTTGTTACCCCAGCGTGTGTTTAATCTGTCCTAATCCAGTTGTTTTCAGAGTGGATTAACCTATAGACTGAGCAGGAAGGAAGAAAACCGACTGTGCTTATTTCAACTTTGATTTATCACAAACTCATACGTGTGTGTGTGTATCGCCTCTTATTTCTCTGGGGCAATATTTGTGGTAAATGCAAACTCATACACAAATTGCTTTGGCCTCTCTGTCAGCATCTCGCCGACCTTCAGTTGCAGCGAGGGGAGGAAAGAAAGTGTTGACAGAGAGTCTTAAACTGTCACCCAAGGCTAATAATGTCAAGTCTGTTGCCATTTGCCGGCCTTCTATCCGAGCATCAGCCTGTTGCCATCGCCCTAATCCAGTCACCTCTACCGTAATGCTGTAATTACAGACTTAAGCTGCTGCATCTCGCCACAGGCACACGCCAAGTCTCTCCAGACGGAAAGCTCACTTCCATTCGTTTAGATCATACCTGAGCAAAAATTCCATTTGCCCGAATCAACCCAAACATCCACCAATAAAGACACACAAACTTAGTACAAGAGTAGGACATGATTGCAGTCCAAAAACTGTCGCTATGGTTATACTCGTTATTATAAAACCAGTGTTTCTTACTGATCAGTTTGACAAGGTGAATTGTAAAAAAAGATGGAGAGTGGAAACACTGAGGACTGGTACAATCTCTTTGAGCAGGCCGGCATATCCATTTGATTGCAAAAAAATTGCCCAAAAGAAAAAGGAAATAAAAGTCTCGCGTCTAAAGATACCTCAACAATTGCGATTAAAGATTTTTTTAATTAATTAATTTCTTTAGTGATGTTACTTTATATTTACAACTTCAAAGAAAGACTTATTGAATGTATTCAAGAAATGCAGTATATATAATGAATATGAGTCATTTGATATAAAAAGTAGAAAGAACAACTATATATATACAAACCGAAAGGTGTATCAATAGATAAGTATAGTACACAAAAGGGTAAAAGTATTTGATGAAATGTAGATTTCTTCCTTTTCTTTGGTATTGGAAATGATCAATATACATTATTGCACAACAAGGGGTAGGACTAGATAAGTTGTATACTTCTCCCTACTCCTTTGAACATATAACTGTGATGATGTTTGTATTACTTATTTTTATTTTCCTTTCATAATTTTTGTTTGCATTTTGTCATCTGTTATTGTATGTTTTACATATGTTTGATAAACAAACAAACAAACAAACAAACACTGCAAGGATCAGTGGAGAGCAAATGGGTCCAAAGTAATTTAATGTTCATCCCTTCAGCTACAGTTACACATTTTGTTCCTGCCTCTCTATGCACAGTACACTTGCAGCTCTTCTGGTCCGCAGAAGAATGAATTCATGATATACCCTACATTTAAGTTGGCATCCTTTAAACAGAAAGAACGTGTGTGACTGTTTGTTTTCATAGGTACACCTACCGACTATGCTGGCTATGTTCTCAGACACAAAAATTTCACCAGTGTCGTCCTACACCGGGGCCAAGAAGCCCACTTAACCACCAGATTCAATATATTATTTCTCAATTGGTCCTATTGAGTTTCCCCTGCTTCTCCTAAACGAGTTAGTCCGCGGAGAGCAGGACGAGAATTCAAGGGGCGGCGGCACTAGAATCGTATTTGTGCTACTCTGCTTCCTCTCCTTCCCACAATATTGTACTGTTACAATTGCATTGCAAACTGCGTTTCCCAGAATGCACCATTAAAGACATCTTTCACTCAACCTCCTGAATATGGAATGCGCGTGGAAAAATGTCACGCGTTCACTCTTGGTGCAGTGTTTCTTTTTGCCTGACATCCATGCAGGATGCAGGTGACCTGGGTTTGATAAGCGCTGCAGGAAAAAAAAATATATCCATATACTTTATATATCTATGTATGATAAATGCCATGTCAGGAATGTTGCTTCCTTGTTAGCCAGCATCTCAGGGTTTTAAGTTCTCCAGCAGCAGTGGTCAGCTCAATACTAATAAAACCATAAATTACTAGGCTGGGGTTTTGATTGATAGCTCTCTCCAGGATTTATCGATCAGCTTCTCGTCCAAGAGTATGTCTTTTGTTCAGGCCAGCAACTTCCTTCCTCCTTGTCCCTTTACATAAACGTTCCCTAAGTGACTCCGGGGCTTTTGGACTGCATGACAAACAAGTCAGTCAGTGGCAGGCTTATGATACTAACTTGCAAGATATTTTTATTTCAACACGACACCCAATAGATAGGCTGGGTTCTGACTGAAGTGTAGGTTCAGTCGTGTCTGGCAGCAGTTTTTGTTGTTTGCAGGAACGCAAATGTCTGCAATGATCAATATAATTGATATGATGAGTAATAAAAGGAATGATACATTTGTTTCGTGCGCAGGGTTAGGCGGACATTTTCTGAATACACCTGCACCTTGTGAAAAATGGGATCATGAATGCAATACATTTGTGTGCAAGTGTCAGGTGACGCGGGGGTGATGGATCGGTGTTTGTGCGCAAAGTTCTGGGTCGTGACGGTAAGAAAAAAAGCAGATCCAATCGGTTTGTCAATAGTGCCTGTCAGTGCAGGAGATCTCGGACTTAAATGACACCGCAAATGTGCGTACAGGCACGGGTTGACGTTCTGTGGTCGATTTCAAATCTGTGCCCGCTCGAAGCATATTCATTATCAGGCTGTCCACTTTCAGATAGATATATGTGTGATTAATACCAAAAAATCCGAGGGGGGGGGCATGAACTGCGACTGTGTGACAGACAGAAACAGATGCTCGCTGAAACTTCTTTGAAAGGAGACAGCAGAATCAGATGCCGTTTGTTTATGGTTATTGTTCATTCCCAAGACATTGTTCATTTATTTTACCAGCCTGTTCGATTACATTTCTTCATTACCCCCCCCTCACGCAAAAAATGGTCTCCATTTGTTCTCCGCTGCCCTCACCCCCCGCCCCAACCCCTGCTGCCAAAATGTCTGTTATGCATGTCCTCCGACTTCATCAAAATCCAAGAGTGTTTCATTAAAAATTATATGAGTATATACTTCAATCCAATAGTACTGGAACAATTTTGGTTTGCACATCAAAAGACAAATACTTTACATCTGGGTCTACATCTGGATGGGTTTGTGAGTCTGAATTAATACTGGTCGTACATGAAAGTTTTCGTAATACATCCTCAAGATGCTATACATTATTTATTCACGGATGCCTTTTCATTCTGATGTTTTTGAGGTTTTGGTATTTGTTACTTGGAAAGCCTTTGATACTTTAGCAAGTGCTATAAAAAATGATTTCAACTGAAAATATGAGAAGAAAGCATCATTTGTAATGAAAAAAAGAGTAATAGAAATGTAAAAGAAAAAAAAACTGTGATAGGAATTTTCCATGAAAATTGGAACATTAAAGCAGCGTGGCATTAGAATAAATGGAATTGAAATTGCTTTTTCTGAAATGTGATTTAACACGAACACACGTGGCAGCACATTAATAGAACAAAGATACAGAAAGAAAAATTAGTCCGTATGAAGAAGCAGTCATGCAATTACAAAGCTTCAAACAAATTGTCAGTGACCAATCGTCTTCTTTATCTGGGGCGTAAAGATACCTTTTCAAAGACGCGCCTGAAGAGAGAAAATCATTGTTCATGGGGGAGATCTAGCAGAGATAAAAGTGTGCCTGTGGTTCATATGCCCTTGCGCGTAGGACACGGTGACTGAAATCAAAACAGTTGTACGCGAAAGAAAAAAGGATGGCATACATTCATACAGCTTAAAGGCTTTAATCGGAAGAAAACCAGCGTGATGGTCATCTGTCACGTACTGGGTACTGCTTCGAAGCAAGGGTCTGCTACTGCGAAGATAAAAACTATAGATTTTTTTTTTCTTCTTAACTCAGAAGTTGAGTGTGGTGGAGATGGTAAAAGTATTTTTTTTTTCACTGAAGGTAAATGCCCCTTGGGTTGTTCAACTGGAATTTGATCCAGTGTGGAAAGATACGAGTCTATGGTCGCAAACGCAGCTACTAATCAATTTTCGCGTCAAAAGGACACTGATTATGTTTTGAATATATTTATGTACTCAAACTCAAGTGCATATTTCAAACTGTATTCTCCGTGATATTTTACTATGCAGGCCATTAAATGTGGCCATTGCCTCACATTTCGAATCAAATTATATTTTATCTTTGGCTAGTTCAGAATTAATTAAACATTGGCTAAATCTTTATTCATTCAAGTGTGAAGATGTATGGATGTAGGTGTGCTACTGTGCACCCGGTCAAAAAAAAAACAAAAAAAAAAACGACAACACTGCTCTGTTGTAGAACACGTGATAGTTAAGGCTGCAGGACGGAGCAATGATGAAATCAGTGAAATTTTTTTCGCACAATTAAGCAGCCTGGATGTGCTGCACCCGTGGAAAGTTCCCCCTCCGATGCATTAGTGCGTGCGGCTCGGCTCCTATCCCCTGCAGACAGTGATGGATCTGATTCATTTCAATGGTGGCCCCCAGTGCTCAGTTCCATTCTGCTGGGTGACAGTGGCAAACTGGCGCTGGTTCCCCACATGCTATCTGCCTGGCCAGGGGTCCAGTATTGTGAATGGGGGGGCGTGTTGGTTGCTTGGAGGAGAAGTCTCCCTTTCCGATTGGGGTCCTGCCATGATCTTAGATTCTCACTACTCTTGAGCATCATGAAAAACCGGCATGTTGGCATCTATTCAAATTACCTTTCAGGACACTAACTTTGTCCTGAACCGTCATGTCAAGTGAGTATCAAACCGTAACCTTATAAGATAATGTCGGCTATCACACTGCGGAGAGATGGCCACTTTCTCCATGCTGGTGAGGGATTTAAAAGGACAAGTGAGGAACTGGAGCAAAGTGATACAACTCATTAAACCTCCAGGCTGTGCTTTTCCAGAAGGAATGGATGTTCTCCTTCAAGTGAAACGGAGGAGAGGAGGGTGGGGGAGGTTGCATGGGAAGTTAATATCAATGCCAAGGGGAAAGCAGAAAGCACAAAACAGCCCTGCATTTTACAAATTCAAGGAGCTGCAATACAGCGGGAACAGACAACTACTGAACATGTTTTTTTTTTTTTTTGGAATACCCATCGAGCTTGGTGCCGTTTGTGCAAAAACTTCAACAAACTATTTACTTGATGCTCGAACAGTGAATGATGACAGCCGGAAGAAAACGTATGCATGCTACAGTACATTCAAAAATAGAGGTGACTTGACCTGATTAAATTGTACTGCGGTGACTGTGATCTTGGGCTTTGCAGTGGATATATTGTTTATAATAGAGCACAACTGAGACTAATGTGTGTAAAATAATATGGGGTATGTAGGGATTTAAAAAAAAAAAAAGTCAATTCAAAACAAAATAACCTTCCTGCAAGGTTTCTGCTCAACCATTTGCTTATATTAATCTCAAACCTTGCTGGAATACATCTTCCTTTATCGGACTGTCTTACTGTGTTTTTCAGCAAAACTGTCAATCATAACAGAGCAAAGGTTTTCTTAGATATCAGATCAAAGGCCCAATGTGGCCCAAGTCACTCACACCAAGGATGGAAATAAATGTGCACCGCTATCAGCTATCTCACACAGGAAATGAGAATATTTGAAGGTCCTTTATGGTCGCCACATTTAAGTTATCCCTGAGTTATTTTGCAGCTCCGAAATCTACAGTGAGATGGATTAAGCGTCGTCGCAGTGCGTCGCATGCATACAGTAACGTTACACCAGAACCCTTCTTTGTGCAACAATCCCATTTATCTGGTTTTGTGACCAGCAAACACCTGCAATGGACCTGCAATGTCCACACGAAACTCGACAGCATGGACCACCGCACCCGCATATTGTGTGTATTGATAAAGTTGGGAAAATTACACAGGCAGCGATGTGGATGCATGAATTCATTCACTCAAGCTATGACAGTCAAGCCCTTGTGTCTGCGTGCGTAGCTTGCTGAGTTCGGCTGTGAGCTACCTCTGTGTTTTGGGCCACCCGCCGGGCTACGATGAGCTGGATCATCCCTCGTTTGTTGCCTTCGACTGACATGGATTTGCGTAGCGTTTCCATGGCTTCCTGATTGCTATTCTCAAGCAGTGACTCTCCATTGACTGCGATGAGTTGGTCATTTATGCGCAGACGCCCATCCTGGAGATAAATGTTAGATCTCCTCATACCAATATATGCCGCATTTTGGAGGACAGCCTTGTGAGCTCGAATATGTTTGTGTAGCTAGCTAAAGGAGGGACGGGTGTTACTCGCCTTGCTGGCAGCACCTCCATTGATGATGGATTTGACAAATATGCCCAAGTCGGCGTGGTTCTCCTTGGACCTGTTACCTTTGACGCTGACCCCGAGGCCCGCTGAACCAGAGTCATTGAGCGGGATCTCAAAGGTCAGGAACTCCCGTCCACCATCGGGGGTCAACACCAGGTCGTCATTCCCTAGCTGCTGGAGAAATTCAGGACAAACTTAGTACATCTAACTAAATACAATATGAATCCATCAATTCTAAAATAAACTATCAAAAATTAAACGACCTGTGAGAGAAGTTGGACTTAGTCAATCAGGAAAACAATTTCAAACGATATGTAAAGATTGGAAAATGCTCATCGGTAGTGTTTAAAGTTCGTTGTTCTGTGAATATAGCAAGCCACAGTCAGGTAAACCGACAAACATTTCAACCCCAACTGGCAGGAAGGTCATATGGGATTAATCCCTCAAGAAACTTCATCTATGAAAAAAAAAAAAGAGGCTTCTCTGAAAAAGAGAAGCTTTAAAGAAGAGTTGGCGGCATGGCGGTTGACCGGTTAGCACGTCGACCTCACTGCGCAGAGGTGCATGGTTCGATTCTGCTTCTGGCCTTCCTGTGTGGAGTTTGCATGTTCTCCCCGTGCCTGTGTAGGTTTTCTCCGGGTACTCCGGTTTCTTCCCACATTCCAAAAACATGCATGTTAATGGAACACTCGAAATCGGCCCTCGATGTGATTGTGAGCAAGAATGGGCAAAATCAGGAGGAAAACAGCCCAGTTGACTTTGTGTTAACTACGCCTTCGTCTCAAGTCACAGACAACATCGTGCTTTGTTGACATGTTCCCTGTTTGCAGATTGAGAGCACGGGAGCAGTTCTGGGATGTCGTGATGGGACAGATAACGTCCAGTTGAAGATTAATGGCAGTAAGCACAATCAACCCAGGAGACCTCACTGCAAGACCTATTTAAATGGACGCGTATCAGCACACAGACACGCACACTTGCACGGCGCCAGATGGATGGCCGCCAGGTGTGTGCCCCTCACAGCTGCTTGGGTAAAGTGTTAAGCACAGGGAAGAGGTAAAACAGAGCATAAGGTGTCCGTTTTCTCCCTTCATGGGCTGAGGAGTTATTAGGATGCAGCAGTGCATTCAGGTGAAAGTTCTTTTGAACACCACCCAACACGCTAGACAGCCATCGTTTTTATTTGTGTGTATTTTTTTCAGCTATTTTTTTGCTTCTGCTATTTCCCTTTCATTTTTGACCTATCTGTACTACCCACCAGCTGTTTTTTTTTTCTTTTTTTTTGCACGTTCTGACCCTCAGAGCACCACAATGCCTCAAAACCCACGGTCCCCTTACACCATAAAAAAAAAGAAGAAATGAGAGGCAATGTTTTTTTTCCTGATTCCTTTGAAAATGGAAACTCAATTTGACATCAAATTTCACTTTCAATGTGAATCAATATCTCCACACACTTTATTAGGTAGATCTTGCACCACCTAGGAATAATAAGTTAAAACGAAGTCAGACTCCGTCCTTATTAGGTAGATCTTGCACCACCTAGGAATAATAATAATTGATATTAATTCATATTTGGAAAAAAATTATTCATAATTTATTATTATTATTATTATTGAGAAAAATCAATCAACCCAAATTATTAATTAAGTATCTAAAAAAACAACCTTTTTCATCCAGCAGTTACATTCTCATGTTAAAACGAGGTCAGAGTGAGTGTACGTGTTTAAGGTGTGTGAGTGCTTGAAAGCCCACTCCCTCCACAATGATGACAGAATAACCGCCCACTCAAAGCAGTGTTCCGGGAATTGCGGACCAAGGCAGAGGATGAGAGAGCAGTGAAACATTTTCATTAGACAGGAAAAAGTGCTGCTAGGCTCGAATGAGTATGTCAGGCTGCCTGACAGGGCCTGTTGCGTCGATTCAAGCCGGCTCAAACTGAGCTGGATACGACTAGCTCAGAAACCCGTGCTCACAGTCCGCAATGGGAACAGGCTTCGTTTAGGAGCGCGGACTCGCATGATGGACATAACGCCCAAAATGGCCGCTGTTTGCTGAATTTTTCACTGCGTGCCTGCTTGGGGCGCACGGGGGCGCGACAAAATTTGCGGAAGTACACAAACCCACTCGTGGGACCCTCCGTGTCCGTGCACTTGAAAGATTTCGAAGAATCATGATTATCCTGAACTAAAATGTGTGAATTGGAGAAACGTCTTCACATAAAACGATGCCGTGGGCCGGATCTTCCTTGAGTTTGACACCTGTGCTTTAACCCAATTCCAACTTTTAAGAGACACATTTACGCCCACACTTTGGTCGGCCAGAGACAGCCATTCCTTTTTTACAGGGGCGGTGGCATGCGACTCGGTGAACAAAGAGGGACAAATCGAAGAAAATGCTCTTCATTAGTCTAAAAATAGTGCACCTGCACCTGCTTTCTTCTGCTTAATTGGCCTTTTTATTTTGTTTCCACCTGACTTCACTCGTCACATATGAACAAGGAAGGTGCACTGAGGAAGCAAGAACGCCTTGGAGGAGAAAAACGGGCAAATGAATCACAATTAGTCCTTTTCACACACAAATGTGAGTTCTCCGCACCTCAATGCCTAAAACAATTAACACTGCTGGAAACTTCTCTCCACACTTGGCCTAATTTGGTGACATAAAGGTCATTGGAAATAAATTCAAAGAGGCTAAAAGAAGTCAGCCATGGGTGTAATTGCTTAACGTGTGATGAGGATTGTCAGAACAAATTCCTTCAGGCAGTGTCATATTTTGTGACAAAAGGTCTAGATGACGACAAAACAAAGACTTCCCAGGTACAGGGGAATTTTCAGAAGTGTGACGGCAACAAGCTGGAAGGAGGTTTAAAGGTTTAAAGCAATCTTGAAGCGAGGGATTGGAAGCATGGTTTTCTTGCATAGAGTAGGATAATCCAAAATTCCAACCCTCAGAATGTCTACTTGTCACGTTTATTTTTAATTGCAAATGTTGATGATGCCAAGGATCCTCCTCGGCAGATCACGGTAGTAACGGTGGCTGAAAGAATGGCTGCGCTCTATCCGACAGCATACACAGTACACCCTTCAATCTATTATGGGCTGTTGAAACTCATCGAATCCTCTTCTGGGAAAAAGTAACCGTCGCCACGAGTGGCCTTTAACAACCTTGTTTGTCAGCAAGGGACTATGCTGCAGCGCACCCTCCCATTCTTTGCACCGACAGCAAACATAATTATAGGAACAGCTGCTGAAAAGTGCTAAACGAAAACAGGTGGCGCTGCGTGCTTGGAGATCATTCGACAGGCTGCTATTGTCTTCGATAGCACTTGGAAGGATAATCTATAATTATGACAAAGCATCGGTTGAGGCTTCAAAGATAATACGAGTGGGGGAGGGGGGGACTCATCAGATTACTTTGTTTCATCAAGAACATCGTATAATTTAGTCAACCCTAAGGGCTCAAACTTTCAAGCAACTTGCAAAAAAAAAAAAAAAAAAAAAAACGGAAATTGAGCAGATATCCCTTGCCGCCTGTGTTTTGGTGATTTTCTTTCAAATTGTGTCTGGAAGTCCCCGTAAAGGTACTTTGACCACAGCAGTCAGTTACGCTTTCATTCGCAAACAATAACGGCTCAAAGTTTTGATCCGAAGCTCAACAGCCACCGTTTTAGCACATTGAACATTTTTCCTTTAATTATTGGAGGAAAATATAAACGGCTCTGACCTTCAAAGGTTAACTTAATGTTTGAACAGCCTGCAGGAATGCATGGGACATGCGAGGCGAGTTTCCCTTGTTTGAAAAATAAATATATAAAATGACAAAACGGTCTTGTTTTATAATAACACAGCTAATCCTTGTTACCAGGCACCATCATTCAAGTATTATTCATCGTGATTCATCGATTGAAAGGCAACCCCTATCAGTACATTGTTCAAAACAGCGACAGCAAGTGACCTTGCTCACTGCAGTTCACACCACGGCGGCTTTCCAGAGCCTTCCCGTTTAAATTATTTTTTTAATTTATTTTTTTGTAATTTGAATAAGTGATGCCTTTTTTTGCTAAGCTAAAATCCATTGATTTATTCACCTGCCTGGAAGAAAAAATAAATGCTGTGTCTCTATCGCCTAATTAACAAGAACAGTGAGGAAAGAAGCATTGCTCCACAGTAAGTCTCATCTAATTATATTAACACCAAAGACATTTTTTTTGGGAGGGGGTGGTGTCAAGACGGCATTATATCAAGTTAGTCCCACTTATCGCCATCTCATTCCTGTACTCTTAAAGTGACAATAGGGTGCTTTAACAAGGCAGCGTTTCTTTGATATATATACAATGGGACAATGAGTCAAGTCACGTAATAAATACATTTCCAAATGTACCGTCATTTTCTAGCCCCGTTTTATATTTGTGCAGAGGTTTTTAATGTCTTCAATCCAGAACGCAATTCCAAATGAAACACTCGATGACAGCGAGGATGATAAAGCTAAAGTTGCCCTTGAGGAAATGAAATGAAGACGAGTGAACTTAAGTCAATAGATCTCTGTATCATTTGTCTTCCGGCCTCTATATGACAAGCTATGAGTTGTACAACCTTGAGGATCAATTTCGTCAGCGGGTTGATTAAAAACACCGTTGACCACAATCAGCACTCATAAAAGAAAAAAAACAAACTAAAACGCTCGATTTCAAGCACGTGAATATACCACCACGCCATCCGTGACTCTTTCTTTCTTCTCGATCCAGCAATTTAGGTGACTCAGAAAAACAGTGTTAATTTATGATTATTTATTGCGATGATCTTCCTCAATCGCTGTGCAGCTGTAAAACTGGAATATGGGGAATTTTAAACCAGGCCACCAGGGTTGGCACTTATGAAACGGGCCATTAGCCCGCTATAATATGGGGAATTTTAAACCAGGCCACCAGGGTTGGTGGCCTGGTTTAAAATTATCAACAGCGCTGTCATGCGTTTGTCTGACGCATCTCCGGCATTCACAGAGGCCATAAATTCATCTGTCACATCAGTCAGAGGCTGCTATTAATTGTGCAATTAAGAATCTCATTGCTTGGCAGATATAGCTACTAATGGATCAGTGACAAATGAGATATGATCATTAAAGGGGATTTTAACGTACTCTTTAATTGCTCTCACGTGGACCGCACTTTTAGGACA